TAAAAGACATCGATGAGGGCGAGGGTCCAACTCCGGCAGATGTTGCGGAGTTGAGGAAGGCCGTTGACTTGTCTCTCCGAGTCACCAAGGAGACGGCCCATGCAATCGGCTGCTCCACGGCAGCAATGGTGGTCTTGATGTCTTGGAAGTCTGCCCCAAGTGGGTAGCCGCAGCCACAGCCATCCACTAGCTCCTCATACAGGCATGCTCAAAAGGAGATTGTCGCTTCTAGAGCCCCCTTCAACAGCATGGGGGCATAGACGACACTCTCAGCCTAAGCTTTAAGGGAAGCAGGGCGACCTGAGGGCCGTCCTGCAAGCGAAGAAGGCTAAGAGGTCCTAGCTGTGTTAGGACCTCTGCGGGCTGCCCCACCCGCGTTGGAGCGACTGAGGTCATCTCCTTCGCGGAGCCCGCAGGAAATCGAATGTTGTCTTCCCGCCGTTGAACACGTTTCGGGACACATCGGTTTCCAGTGAACGCAGGCTGCTTTGTCCGCCCCACAGGCTTGTGGTCAGGCAGTTTTCAGGTTCGCCCATCGAGAATCGTTTTCGGTCCAGCCCTGCCGGAGATCCGCTTCAGGGGGTCGAGAACGAATCCCGATTAATACCTGAAGCCAGACTCGAGAGCCTGGTTCCTTTGGTAAAATATTTCGATGCATGGAAAGATCTCACAAATATTTCCCCATGGTTCCTGCGCACCATTCAGAATGGGTACAGGCTGCAGTTCGGTTCCCCAGATTCAACGGGGTGGTCTGGACTGTAGTCGACCCAGTGCAGGGTCAGGTATTGGAACAGGAAGTAAACTCCCTTCTAGAAAAAGAGGCCATAGAACGTATTCCTCCACTAGACAGGGAGTCCTGGTTCTACAGCCGCTACTTTATAGTTCCCAAGAAGGATGGGGGGTTGCGTCCGATAATAGATCTCAGGCATTTGAACCGTTCTCTGAGGAGATTCAGATTCAAAATGCTCACTATTCCAACAATAGTGAACCAAATTCAGTCCGAGGACTGGTTTGTCACGATAGATCTGAAGGACGCTTACTTTCATATATCCATCCTTCCATCTCACAGGAAGTTCCTGAGGTTCGCTTTCGGGGGCGAAGCGTACCAATATCGGGTTCTTCCGTTCGGCCTAGCTCTCTCACCCCGCACATTTACCAAATGCATGGATGCAGCTCTAGCACCTCTGAGACTCTAGGGTATCAGGGTGCTTAATCATATAGACGACTGGCTCATTCTGGCCCAGTCGCAAGAGCAGGCGGTTCAGCATCGAGATGTTGTCCTCGCCCATATCCAGAAGTTGGGGTTGAGACTCAACACAAAGAAAAGTGTGTTGACACCAGCCCAGAGAACGACATTCCTGGGAGTGGTGTTGGATTCGGTCACAATGCGGGCACGGCTGTCTCCCGCGCGAGTCGAGTCCATCCTGGCCACAGTGGCTGGGATAAAGCTGGGCCAAGCCATCACTGTCAAACATTTCCAGAGAGTGTTGGGGCTCATGGCAGCTGCGTCCAACATTATTCCATTTGGCCTGCTGCACATGAGGGCCCTTCAGTGGTGGCTAAAAATCAGAGGTTTTTCCCCGAGGGGAAACCCATTCCGCACGATCAGGGTTACGCACAGATGCCTTCGTTCCCTATCTATGTGGAAGAAAGTCTGGTTTCTGTCCCAAGGTCCAGTGTTGGGAGCGTCGTGTCGCCGAAAAACCGTTTCGACAGACGCCTCCCTCACGGGCTGCTTTACGACAGGCCTATGGCAGGACCATCATTCTTCCTGGTACATAAATTGCCTGGAGATGTTGGCGGTATCCCGGGATCTGAGGAGCTTCTTGCCGGACCTCAGAGGTCACCATGTCCTCGTGAGGTCGGACAATATGTCAGTAGTGGCTTATATAAACCATCAGGGGGGCCTGAGGTCTCGCCCTCTATACAGATTGGCGCATCAGATCCTCCTGTGGTCCCAGGAGAAATTGTTGTCTCTAAGAGCGGCATATTTCCCGGGAAGTCAAAATCAGGGAGCAGACGTCCTGTCGAGACAGGGGCTGAGGCCCGGGGAGTGGAGACTTCACCCCGAGGTGGTGCAGTCAATATGTCAGAGGTTCGGCCCAGTGGAAGTGGACTTTTTCGCGTCTCGAGAGACGACCCACTGTCCTCCGTGGTTTTCCCTTACTCCTCCAGCCTCCTCCATGCATTTCCCCCGATCACTCTGCTCCCGGGAGTTCTAGAGAGGGTCCGTCACGACAGGATCAGTCTACGGTTGGTAGCCCTGTTGTGGCCGGCCCGAGTATGGTTCTCGGACATTATATTTCTCCTAGACGGCCCTCCGTGGGAGATTCCCCTCAGGAGGGACCTGCTGACACAGGCGGGGGGCTCAATATTTCACCCCCGGCCAGAGGTATGGAAACTGTGGGTCTCGCCCCTGAGGGGGCACAGTACCTAGAGGCCGGCCTATCAGCTGGAGTAGTGGAGACCATACTCAGCTCTAGAGCTCCCTCCACGAGGAAACTGTACAGATTGAAGTGGAACGTTTTCACCATTTGGTGTAGGGAGCGTGAGGTGGACCTGGTTAACTACCCAGTGGCTTCAGTGCTGGAGTTTCTCCAAGATCGCTTCTCCACTGGTCTTACCCCGTCCACACTCAAGGTGTACGTGGCTGCCATTATGGCTTTCGACGCTCCTCTGAGTAATGGGCCTCTGGGGAGACATCAATTGATTGTACGTTTTCTCCGTGGGGCCTGGAGGATAAGACCTGTGGCTCGTACCAGGTTTCCCACATGGGACCTGGCAGTTGTTCTCGAAGGCTTGGCTGAGGCCCCCTTCGAGCCACTGGAGTCGGCTGAGGCCAAGAACCTGACGCTGTATGTTGCTTTTCTGTTGGCCATCACTTCTCTGAGGAGGGTGGGAGATCTTCAGGCGCTCTCCATATCTAACGAGTGCCTGGAGTTTGCTCCAGGCAACATTAAAGCTATCCTTCACCCTAGGCCCGGCTATCTGCCTAAGGTGCCATCTAATGTGGCACGGCCTATGGTTCTGCAAGCGTTTCATCCTCCACCTCACGTGATGACAGATGAAGAGAGGCTTCATTTGCTCTGCCCTGTCAGAGCATTAAGTATTTACATTCCGAGGTCCTCTTCATGGTGGAAGGCGGACCAGTTGCTGGTGTGTTTCGGGTCTCCCAAGAAGGGGCTCCCCGCTTCTAAACAGACTATCAGCAACTGGATTGTCCATGCTATTTCTGCAGCCTACCAGGTGCGCGGTATGCCTTCACCCGTGGCTGTGAGGGCTCATTCCACCAGAGGCATGGCGTCCTCTAGAGTCCTTCTCGCGGGGGCTCCCATTCAGGAAATCTGCGATTAAGCTGGATGGGCTACCCCGCATAACTTTATTAGGTTTTATAGTTTGGACATTCCGTCAACACCCGGCTCTCTTGTGCTCGTGTCCTAAGTGTGCCTGTGTGCAGCTTCACACTAGGGCAGGCAGGGCGCGTTGTGGCGTAGTGGGTACTCGTTCCCCCAAAGTGTCATTTGACGCAGTTGGAGTTCCCTCGATAGGGAACGTCCTCGGGTTACGACTGCAACCCTTGTTCCCTGAGAAGGGAACGAGAACTGCGTCTCGTGGCCACGCCTTCCCCTGCCTGGGAGCGCTTGCTTCATCACAGAAGTTGACATCTCATGTGTGCCCGGTCCTTATATAGCTTACGTGTCATCACACATTACGTCATTTACGCTCTCCAATCGGAGATTGGCTTAGTTTTCATTCATGCTTCAGACGCGCTATGCTGAGGGGCTTCCCCCGAAGTGTCATTTGATGCAGTTCTTGTTCCCTTCTTAGGGAACAAGGGTTACAGTCGTAACCCGAGGACGGTTTGTTCTCACAAGTCAAGTACTGGTGAGCTTCCTTTTTATTATATTTTGTGTGCTCAATGTAATAAAGAATTAAAGGGGTGATGAACTGAGAAATCTAATTTTCCTTGAGCTTTTGTCATCATATTATAAGACTATCCTGTAAGTTTCAGAACTGAAAATGTCCTTGTTAGTCCAATAATTTTATTGACACCAGCCTCAGCAAACTACTTGTTTTTCAAAGTGGTGAACTATGACGTCAAAGAGGATAAAACACCACCCCTGCAGAAGAAGATCAACACCTACTTCAACATGGCTGGTTTAGCCCCGCCCACCGATTCGCGCGTTACACGCATAGCTAAATAACATAGATAGGGCCTACCTATACCTCGTGATGACAAACCGGATCGAGCTACCGAGCAATACAGAATGTGGAAGAAGACATTCGCTGCATAAGCTTCCTCTGGATTCCAATAGGACTGCATGGATAAACTTTATTTTTAATGACGTTCCAGCTGATGAGGTTAAACATTGTCCATCTGTTCACTTCATTTCACAGAGGATTGTTTTGTAAACAAGACTGGATTTGCAGGCCGATTAAGATTAAAGAACGGTGCTGTGCTGTCTATATTGGATCTGACAGGAATTGTGCAACACACGCAGCTGGGTCGAACATGTATGGGCGAATCATTCCGGTTGCATTTTAACAACATGAGACGTTTTCAAAACAATTTCCCCCAAGTGCATCGACGCGTGAGTTTAAACTCATTATAATATGCAAAACTGTTATCCACTCACAGCAGTGGGCGTTTACTTCCAAGTCTTCAGTGCGAGTTTTTCAGCTAGGCTCAAAACTAGGGTACAAAATAGCCTATTTACTTATTCATTTTGATGTTTTTGAATGTAAAAACCAAGCGAACGTCATGAGTTGACCTCAGACAACAATTTAATACAATTTAAAAAGCCAGTTCATGACCCCTTTAATAAAAATATGTATGGTTTTGGTAAAAAAAAATTTTAATGAGCAAAAATATATTTCCTGACTTTTTAAAGTGATTTAAGTAATTTATCCGTGTAGAGTTGATTGAAGAGGTTACTGGGATTAAGGGTTAAGTGTTAGGGGTTAGATGGTCATGAATCAAGGTTATTGAAAAAGTTGACCTGGGCTCAGGAGCAGGTCGGATACTTGGCAGGACATCCCAGCTTGAAGTTAAGCTGTCATGTTATGAGGAGAAATAATCATATCACCAATCACAATCCATCAAAGTAATCACAGACAAACTTTATAAAAGAATGTTACTGCTAAAGAAGAAAACAGAAATACAAGACAAACTATACTCTAATAATTAAGTTAAAGCAGTTTTTAATTAATGAAATCGAAATCAGCTGTGGGATCTTTTTTTACCACACTATTTTCAGAAAATGTTACTATTTGATGATGTATTCATTTTTAATTAATAATTTAATTACAAATAGTATTACTAACAGTTGCAAATTGCTTTAGACAATGGCATGGGTATATTGATCACTTTGGATTATTTTAACTTGAATTAAAGTAGCTAGTTTGTATTTTAAAGGACAACTCCGGCGCAAAATGAACCTTTGGTCTAATTACACATTGCTACCTAGTCAACCGTTATCTGAGATTTGTTTTCATGATTGCCGAATGTAAATAGGTTTATCTCTAAAAACAGTTTAGCCTATAACGCTAGTATAACGCTAGTATATAGGGCATAGAGTAATGACAAATAAAAATCGCTTGTTATTACCACTAACAAGGCTCAAAATAGCCCCACACCAACACGAAAGCATAACAAGGGTCCCTACATTCAAAATACATTAACTCATCATAATTCAAGGGTGTGGGACCCACTCACCCTACAGGCCTATTACAGATCAGTGGGTGGGACTTCACTTGCAGAAACTGAAATCAATATCCACCAACATGTTTTTGGAAGCTATAACAAGCGCTGTGGCGCTATGGAGATAGGAAGTATGACAATGACAGAAGAAACTAAACATGATAAGGAAGAAGAGGATTTTGAAAGTCTGCTTCTCGAATCCGATGTTCGTGGCTATCTTTACGAGCCGCAATATAAGTTAGTGAAGAGCAGCTGAGGCTGATGGAGGAGCAGGAGGTGGCTGTCTGTCGGTCGAGGAGCCCGGACTGGCTCGAACTGAGGCGGACTGCTGGTTCATGTGCTCTCGCTGTGCGCTACGGCCTACAGACACAGCTAGAGTCCATCTGCTGCAGAGAATTTCAACAATGGCAATTTCTCCTGGACGAAATCTCTGAATCAGACAAGCACATGGACGTTTGTGTTGTGATGTGAACCATCATAGTTTCGCCTGACTGAACAGGTATCATGCAGTAATACACCATATAGAAAGAAATACAAATGAGGAGTAATTCACTAATCAGTTTGCCAATGTAACGTTAACGGGGTTTGTTGTTGTGGCAAGAAGGAGGCGAGAATCTGCGAATATTTAAACATTTTAATAGTAAAATGCAAATAAAAAAACGAAAGTATAAGCCAACAGCCCCTCATTGACGCCTGATGTCCACACACAACATAAAATTAGGCCTGTTTCTCTCTCGATCTGCCGTTTATGCTCCCGCTCCTCTGTGAGAGATACAAGACTGGTCGGTGCTTCTCTTGTCTTTCATTTTCGTCCGTGTATCGTCCGTTTTCATCTCGTCCTGCTTGCCACAGCCAACTAACTGTGAATTTTGCGTGAAATGAATTTCAAACTCTGGTGACAGCCAACGTTAGCCTTGTTGACGAAAGAATGATTTCTCTGATGTTTACGCAGTTCCGGATTAGTGGGTGTGGCTTGCTGAGCTGTGCTATGTGGTGCATTGTGGGTGTTGTAGTCTTTTCTCGTCAAGAGGGCAACAAATTCAAAAATTCTTTTACATTTCGACTACATATGATCCACTTTCAATAAAGATTAATGTTGAAATGGGTGAAATGCTCCTTTAAAACGTGCATCTTGTTTTAGTAATATTTATTAGGAATTTCCTGATTAAAGTTCCAACAATATTTAGCAGATTTCTTGAAGTGCAAGTGACAGCCCATGTCTTGCCTCTATTACTCAATATACAGCAGCAACACCTTTTCTTTAGTAGGAGTGAAGGCAGATGAGGATTGACAATTAAAGAAATCAGAAGCACCCTCCTGATAATGGTGACATTGATTATAATAAGTAATTACTTAACAACCACTAAAAAACATGTTCTATATAGTATGAATGTTATCTTAATGTACTACATTCACCGTGTTGTCATTAACATCTGACCTACCCATCAGTTACGCTTCACACTAATGCTCTCAAGTGAGGAAACGAGATTGTACAAGTAAGAATTGAGAAGCACCCATCAAGATGTAGTCAAGAGCATAATCACCTGACCTGATCTGATGCTATCCTGTGCCCTGATTACTGCTTTATAAGGTAATCATTCATATTCCTGAATCACCATTAAATGTGAGGAATCTAATTGATCTCCATTCAGCTTAGCCTGTTCTCTCTGAAACTCAATCACATAAAACCTTCATCTTTAAAACTACACTACATTCTTTAAAATATCTTATTTTGTGTTCAGAAAGAAAGAAACTCATACAGGTTTGGAACATGTGATGTGTTATATATAAAAAAACATTAATATTTCTAAACATAATTGTATGTATGACTTGCTCTAAGTAACATCCTGTTTTCTTTTCAGATTTCAGAGAATAAGTAAAAATGCATAGTAAGCCAGATTTTTTTAAACTTGAACTGTAGGACTACTTATAGTTATAATGACATCACACTCTTTAAACTATTTTAGGTTGTTAGTGCTTTTGTCCTATTTGTCATATTTCTACTTTTTAACAATGATCTTTTGTATCTTTTTGTCAATGATTGATTGTTGATTTTTTTTTATTAAAAAGTTTTTTTTCCATTGAATGTTGCTTCTGACCAATTCACCTTTGGCTAAGCCATGCCCTAGAATGTAGATTGACCAATCACAGCCCAGCTAGAACCAGCTCCCACAGAGGTCAGACAGTTTTTCACTGCGCTCCATTGACTTTCAACACAGACGTCTCATATTTTTGGTCTCGGCAGGCTATTGCCGTCAAAGTTTTATCCAAAATATGGTTAAACCTTGTGCCTCGGGCATTTGCAACACAGATACGTGTTTCCCAGAGTGGAGGTCCGTTTTTTCCCTTCCCAAAACCGAAGTAAAATCCTGACAGTGACAAGTGTCGTGTTTGGATTAAACTGTATGGACGTCCTCAGTCAGCTAAACCCCGCAAAGATCAACAAGCACATCTTTTTTTACTTCTAACCTTACTGTGAGTGTGAAGTTATACTAGTTAGACCGTTTTATAATGTTTCAGGTTATGATTTCGGTTCTCATACCGGTTGTTGATACGCTAGCACACACTGCTAATAAATACAACGTTATACAGTACTAGTGTAGTCCGTTTGCTTTGTAATAACGATTATATAAGTGAATAGAGACCTACCCAGCTTTGCATGAACAGTGTTGCTCCCTGATATTGTTAATCTCAGCCTGTCAGGAGCCAATCAGAATCCTCAGCACTCACCACACAACGATCACTCTCTCCGGATTACTAATCACGTACACCTGTGCACAATCAATGATCACATCTTACCCTGCATAAAACACCCCACTCACACTCACTCATTGTCAAGCCTCCAACAGGAACAGACCCTAACCAGTCACCTAGAAACGCTCCGTGTCATCCAGCAACAAGGAACGGAACGTAACGTATACTTACCTGCAAAATACTAACCTCTCTGTCCATGGTGTGATATCCTCAGGATCCACTCCATGGTCTCTGCCTTTTCCTGAATCCATGTACCCCTCCTGAATCTCGTTCGCCAACGGATGACCTGAAAGAAAGAAAGCAAGTATCACTGAACTGAGTTAGTTTGATGGAAATCACACTGAAGAGGATCTGCTCACCTGGAATCCTTCACGCCGAAGTATCCTCCTCACATTCACCTCTGAACACCTGAAACTTTGAGCACTCACCTTGTTTGTGACAAAATAAAGTTTATGTTCATTCACTTACCTTTGTCTCCGAGCCTATATCCTGAAAGAAGGCTTGACCAACAACAGAAAGAGGTGAAGAAAAGATGGATTCCAGACAACCTGCCGTTGCTGCAACAAGTTCCACACCAGCTACCACGGTAAATCCAGAGTTTTCTCCTGTTAGCGCTTCCGTGAACGCCGCTTCTTCGATCACCTGCTTTGCGAGCCCACCGTCGTGCCCAGCGCCATTCTCTGGTCGGGCGGAGGATTGCAACGGATTCCTGTTACAGTGTTCACTGGCTCTGGAACAGCAAGCTTAACTATATCCTACCGAACGATCGAAAGTGGCATTTATATCCAGCAATTATGTGGAGCGGTGTTGAGATGGGCTGAGGCGTTGTGGATGAAGGAATCATCCGTGGTAGCATCAGTTCCAGAATTTGTGAGGCATTTCAAAGAAGTTTTCGGACATCCAGTGGATGATTCCTCGTTCGGTGAACAGCTGTTGCAGCTACGTCAAGGGAAGAAGACAGTTTCTGACTATTCTGTGGAATTTCGCACTCTAGCCTCTAACAGTGGATGGAATGAAAGGGCGCTCATCTCAGTTTATCGCCATGGTTTGAATCCAGCCTTGCGTCTTCAAATGGTGATATATGATGACAACTTAGGACATGAGAAATTCATCCAGCAGGCTATACGAGTGTATCAAAGATCTCAGAGTTGTTACAAGGATAATCTGGATTGTCATTCTGCACTGCCACAGAGCACAAGAAGCTCTACATCCGAGAGTCAAGTTGAAGAGATGCAAGTCGACACTTTCCGGCTTTCCCATACAGAACGTACTCGTAGAAGAGTACTGAAACTGTGTATGTACTGTGGTGCCAAGGGTCATTTCAGACTTAACTGTCCAATTTGACCAGGAAGAATGATGGTAAGCTCAGTTCTTGATCACACCATTGTATCAGCACCCCTCACGATTCATGTTATCATAAAGACTCAAGAAATCTGCATATCTGTGACAGCCATCGTCGACTCTGGTTCAGCGGGAAATTTAATTTCCGGAAAACTCTGCAAAGAACTCAACCTCCCAGAAGTCAACACTCCAAAGTCTTACTCCATCTACGCAGTGACTGTTGAGTTGATTAATAAGGAAAGTGTCACAACAAAGATAACCCCCATTCAATTATGTGTTGAAAACATGCATCAAGAACTGTTTGAACCGTTTGTTCTCCAAAATAGCCAAACAGACTTGATCTTAGGTCGACCATGGTTAATTGGCCATCAACCTACCATCGATTGGCAGTCTGGGAAGATAAAGGAATGGGGCTGTGCATGTTCCCTCAATCGAGTTCCACTCATGAGTTTTTCCAATGATTCAAGATCCCCAGCCATAACTGTAAGTTCCACTTCCATTGAGAGTCCCACTGAAAACCTGTCCACGAACATTCCTGCCTGTTATTCCTTGTTCTCTGATGTTTTTAATCCTGTCACTGCTTCCAAATTACCACCTCATCGGCCCTGGGATTGTGCCATTGATCTGGTTCCTGAAGCACGACTTCCCAAGGGTAGAATCTACTATCTATCCATTCCAGAACAAAAATCCATGAGAAAGTACATAAAGGAGGCCTTAGGTCAAGGCTACATTCGTCCTTCCACATCTCCTGCAGCTGCTAGCTTCTTTTTTGTGTCCAAAAAGGATGGTGGATTAAGACCATGTATTGATTACAGAGCCCTGAATCAAGTCACTGTGAAGTTCAGCTATCCTTTGCCGCTCATTCCAGCAGCCCTTGAACAGAGAAGCCAAGATGTTCACCAAGCTAGACCTACGGAGTGCATACAACTTAATCAGGATAAGAGAAGGAGATGAGTGGAAAACAGCTTTCATAACACCTGCAGGGCACTACAAATATCTCGTCATGCCATATGGTCTGGTCAACGCTCCTTCTGTATTCCAGAGTTTCATGGACGAAGTTCTCAGAGACTTCCTGGGAAAGTTTGTACTAGTGTACATTGATGATATTCTGATTTACTCAAAAGATCCCGCTGAACACCAACGACATGTATCTCTGGTACTTCAAAGACTCAGAGATTTCACCCTGTTTCTGAAGGCTGAGAAATGTATCATAGTGGTCTTTCATCAGACCACTGTCGATTTCCTGGGTTACATCCTTAGCGACAGGGGAGTTGAAATGGACAAACGCAAGACTGAAACCATCCTGTCCTGGCCCATTCCCCAGTCAGTTAAAGAGCTCCAGAGATTTCTAGGCTTCGCAAACTTCTATCGAAGGTATATTCAACAATACAGTATTCTCACGGCTCACGGCAGTATTCTCCTCCAAACCCTTGCCATGTGCATTCTTCTCCAAGAAGTTATCTCCAGCAGAAGCCAACTACGAAATTGGGAATCGAGAGCTTTTAGCAGTGAAACTTGCCCTGGAGGAGTGGAGACATTGGTTAGAGGGAGCAAAGCATCCATTCCTAGTACTCACAGACCACAAGAACCTCCAATATCTGAGAGATGCTAAGAGACTCAATCCACGGCAGGCCAGATAGGCATTGTTCTTTACACGTTTTCACTTCAAGATCTCATATCGCCCGGGCTCCAAGAATACCAGAGCCGATGCGCTCTCTCGACTCCATGCCTCAGATACTCCAGTGGAAGAACCAGAAACCATCTTACCCGAGAGATTATTTGTTAATCCCATCCAGTGGGAAATCAATGAGCAACTTCTAGAATTGTCTCGACAGCAACCCAGACTCCCAGGATGTCCTCCCGAAAAGATTTACGTGCCTGAAGAATTCCGCAACTCTTTAATTGCTTCTGCTCATGCTTCGGTGGGAACCGGTCATCCGGGCATAAACAAGACTCTAGCAATCCTTCAAGCAAAGTATTGGTGGCCCAACATGCAACACGATATCACGAGTTTCATTCAAGGTTGTATTCCCTGTGCCATGTCCAAAGTCCCAAGAAACCTTCCGGTGGGTAAGTTAGTACCCCTGCCTGTCCCACATAGACCCTGGTCACACATCGGAGTTGATTTCGTCACCAATCTCCCTATGTCTGAAGGGAACACCTGCATCCTAGTGGCCATCGATCGATTCTCAAAAGCATGCAAGCTAATTCCTTTGAGACGACTCCCTACGGCTTTTGTCACCGCCGAGTTATTGATGGAGCATGTTTTCCGCAATTACGGTCTCCCAGAAGACATAGTCTCGGACAGAGGACCCCAGTTCATTTCCCGGGTCTGGCGAGCTTTCTTCAATCTTATGAATGTGACAGTTAGTCTATCTTCAGGATACCACCCAAAAACCAATGGGCAAACCGAACGGAAGATTCAAGACATCAGGCAATTCCTGCGCATATTTTGCCACTCCAATCAAAACATCTGGAGCTGTTATCTCATCTGGGCAGAATATGCACAAAACTCTCTCAGACAGTCATCCACGCAGTTAACCCCTTTTCAATGCATCCTTGGTTACCAGCCCCGTTATTCCCATGGTCCGGTGAGCCATCAGAGGTCCCCGGAGTGAATAAGTGGTTTCAAGAGAGCGGAAGAGCACATTCAACAAGCTGTCAATCGTCAACAGCATTTTGCTGATGCTCGCCGCCGCCCAAACCTTGAATACCAACCTGAACAGCTTGTCTGGCTCTCTACGAGAGACATCCGGCTTACCTCAACCATGTCGCAAGCTAAATCCCAAGTACATCGGGCCATTCCCCATTGTTAAACGGATCAATCCAGTCACCTACCAACTTCATCTGCCCCCAGAATATCGGATCCATCGAAACGTTTCACGTTTCCCTGTTGAAGCCCCATCATCCACCGGTACCTCACTCAGTCACAGAGCCCACTCCTGAAGATAACCCCCCGGTACCACCCATTAAACCAGACTCCATTTATTTAATAAAGGAGGTATTGGACTCTCGACGTTGAGGGGGTCAATTGGAGTATCTCATTGATTGGGAAGGGTATGGACCAGAAGAAAGAAGTTGGGTACCCCGAAATGACGTTCTTGATCCCAGTCTGCTCCTTAAATTCCATGCTCAGCATCCTGACAAACCTGCACCACGGCCCAGAGGTAGACCCCCACGACGTCGAGGTCCAAGGTCCGCTGGCGCGGACTCTGGAGGGTGGGGGTAATGTCAGGAGCCAATCAGAATCCTCAGCACTCACCACACAACGATCACTCTCTCCGGATTACTAATCATGTACACATGTGCACAATCAATGATCACATCTTACCCTGCATGAAAACACCCTGCGTTCACGCTCACTCATTGTCAAGCCTCCAACAGGAACAGACCCTAACCAGTCACCTAGAAACTCTCCGTGTCATCCAGCAACAAGGAACGTAACGTATACATACCTGCAAAATACTAACCTCTCTGTCCATGGTCTGATATCCTCAGGATCCACTCCATGGTCTCTGCCTTGTCCTGAATCCATGTACCCCTCCTGAATCTCGTTCGCCAACGGATGACCTGAAAGAAAAAAGCAAGTATCACTGAACTGAGTTTGTTTGATGGAAATCACACTGAAGAGGATCTGCTCACCTGGAATCCTTCACGCCGAAGTATCCTCCTCACATTCACCTCTGAACACCTGAAACTTTGAGCACTCACCTTGTTTGTAACAAAATAAAGTTTACACAGCCTCCGTCTCAATTAGTAGGAAATGCGGTGGTTCATTTTTTGACTGTGACCGGTAACGTTAACGTTATACTTTTGCCTCTATTTTGGATGCCTTGTTGTTGATTGCGTTTCACCTGTATGTCTTGAATATAGCCTTCGAAAGCATATTGCAGCCCCTTTTGCCTACTTCTATCGGACACTTTATTTGCTGCTTTATAAAAGTTTGATAACATTTCAGCAGGAAGAGCTGTTACAGCATAAGCCATGCAGAGCGCAGATGAAGTTTGACGGATGTAGCAACAGTAACTAAGGGGGCGGGGCTTAGCCAAAGGTGAATTGACCATTGAATGTTGCTTCAACATTAACTTTGGGTACATCAGATGGCAACATTGTTTTATGTTGTCAGTAGGCAAAATTTCAGTTGTATGTTCAATGTATGAACAAACATGATTTAGAATGAACACAACAATGTAACATTGATCCAACAATATTACCAAGGACTCTTTTTGTTAATGTTGATTCAACAGCAATGATTTAGAATCAGCATCATAATGTAACGTTGATCCTATGACATTTCCATTGATTTTTTGTTCAAATCTCACTATTGTTTCAACATGAATTGTGGGTGCAAAAGTGATACTGAACCAACATTACTCTATAACATTAATTCAATGTAATTAGCGTTGACACATCAACTTTGACTTATTGTTTCAATGTAGTTCCTATAATCTATGTAGTTTTTATAATATAATTTCTTTATTTTCAACGTCTGATGTAATTTCTTGTGTTATTTTTTAATTTTATTCCTGATTGTCCCACCTTTATGAAGTCATTCTTGCTAGCACTGGAAAACAATAATCTTGTTGTTTAGTGACTTGTACCCAATTATGAACCGTAAACTGATTTTAAGATGAGACAAAAAAAAAAAAAGGAATTTATTCGATGAATTACAGAGGAAAACACATTCTTGGCAAGTTTTAAGCAGAACACATAGAGTATGATTGTGTATAACTAGGAATGTACAAAAAAATATATAACAACTCTAACCAGCTCATGAGACATGTGGATTGTTAAAAATTCTTACCGAATAGTTTTCACAATGAAGTAGATGATAACAGCCAAACCTATACATCCACAAAGAGACCCGATCACAATCGCTGTGATTTCACCTGAGGCAGAGACAAAATTATATATTCTAAGAGAACTGATTGAAAAGATAAAAACAATTTAACAAATGAAGAGTTCAGATGTAAAAGCCTAAATGCCATTTGAAATTTTCTTCTTTAATGATGATTTTTATCAAACTTGTATATTTAAGTTCAGTAATTTCATTTAAAACAATTAATAGGTAATTATTATTGCCATTTAAGTGAAATCACTGAACTTAAATATACAAGCTTGATAAAAATGATCATTCTAGAAGAAAATTTCAAATGGCACTTAGAGGCTTTTGCATCTGAATTCTTCAAATAATACTGAATGTTTAGACAATAAAAATGATTGGTATAATATAAAATGTTTATACCTGCAGTATAAAATTGAATTTGAACTGGGGAGAGAAACAGTGAAACAAAGAAGAATTAGACAAAGCACAAGCATGATGCTATGCATGTTTTTTAAGCTACATTCATATCTTTTTAATGACAAACCGATTCACCCAAAAAAGACAATTCTGTCATCATTTACCCATCCTTATGTAATTGAAAAATGGTGTACTGTTATTTTGGTGGAATACAAAAGGCACATTTTTTTTGAAGAATCATTAAAGGTATTGTAGGTAGGAATTTTATAAAAAAAAAACTTATTTTCCAAATTTGCTTAAAATTTCTGTATAAAGTTTGTTAAAATGTAAGTACTCTGAAAAAGAAAAATATAAAAATAGAGTGTCTGTAGACCTCTCACGACTGTTTTAAAGACAGCTCATTATTTCCATTCATTCCACCCCCTCCCTTCTGGGCTCCTTCCAAAGCCACGCCCCCAAAATACATGAACGCGCGACTCCGACCGCTGAGCTGAAGACGCATTATTTACCTGAGACGAGCGGAGAGGAGGGAGCGCAGTGCATGTAGTGACATCATGTCAGAATCACATGTATTAAAAAAATCTGACTTTATCATTATTGTTACGAACTGCTCTGAGACAGGGAGATGAAGATCCAAATGCAGCTTTATTTAAGAATAGTCGTACAGGCAGGGTCAAGAATCAGCAGACAGGACAATGGAGAACACACAGTGGGAATCCAAGAAACAGGCAGAGGTCAGGGCAGGCAGCAATAATCAAAGTCCAAGAACAATCCAAAGTCGAAAACAGAAAACAAACACGAGAAACCGCTCGGAAATGCAGACACACAATACAACAAGACTTTGCAATAACTGAATGTGAAAACCAGGTATTTATGATGTGAACTAAACAAGATAATGAGAAACAGGTGAATGAGATGAATGCTGATGAGTCCAGGCAGTGAGTTATGGGAAATGTAGTTTGTGAGTGAAACATGATCGTCTGGTGTGGAGTGCCCTCTGGTGGCTCTCAAAGGCACTCCAGCTGATAACTGTTACAATTATGAAGATAAACAAATGAGATGTATTTTATTACTCACTATCAAGCTAGCATATTGATATTGGTAAAGTTTAAAATATATATTTATTGATTCGCTAACAAGCTAGTTATCTATAAAGCAAAGCTAAAAACAGGTTGCATGATACACGTTTTTCCACTGCCATCATTTATACCCTAAACCTACCCCTCACTGGGGTTAATAGCATTTATAAGTCTTCCCCTACCATCCTAGGAAAAAAAAATATTGCTCCCCAGATGTAGATCTACATTTTGCTTTGTTTCGCTCGGACATAACAGCGTGTACATACACGCGGAATCACATTAACTCTTTCCCCGCCAAACACGGAATTTTCCGTGTTTAATGAAAAAACGCATCTGCGCCAAACACGGAATTTTCCGGGTATCCGTGTTTTAGGTGGTATACGGTAAGGAAGACCCGCGCGCATGTCCTGAATGATTGCGCAACTCTTTGATCAGAGAAACAGATCGCAATCGTCTCAAACAGTGGAGTAGTGAGAATGTAGCTATCAGACAGACAATGCAGAGGTATATGGCTGAAGTACTGGAGGTTAATGGACTCGGAGTCCGATCACTCTTTATTTGATAATTCTGAATCTGATCGGGACGAAGTAGTCAGTGAGAGAGATGCACATGTTGTCACAGAAAGTTCTAGACATGGACGTGCCGCAGATAGATCGTATAATATTATGACACTATAATATGTATGTGTGTGTGCAGGCATTTATGTGTGGCTGTCTAAATATGAAGGTGTAATTGTCAAATTATTTCTCTCTTTGTGCACATTTACCACATTGTAATATGTATTTGTGTGTGTGTGTGTGTGTGTGTGTGTGTGTGTGTGTGTGTGTCTAGGCCTGTTTATTGTAATTCCAATTATTCATTATTCACAGGTAGAACACAGAGAGGCAGAAGTTTTATTGCAAAAGTTACATTTCCCTTACATCCTGGGAAATTTGATATATTTTACATTTATTTTATGTTTTTAATTTATTTTGGAAAGTTTTATATATGAAGGAAAAAACATCTGAATGTATTCTGCTTTTAAATGCACTTGTTTGATAAAAATACCTTTTTCTCAGTTTTTTGTCCAAAATGTTGTGTTTTTGACAAAACCTACCTCTGTTCAAGAGGCAATAAAAAAAGAACAGATGAAGATAAAATAAAAACGTTTTTTTTTTTGCCTAAAAGCAGAGGCTCAGATCTTTGTTTTTATATATATCATCTTCATATATTCATGGAAGAAAATATTCAGCGGGGGCATTCAAATTTAGCGAAAATCGTCAAAAACCCTGGCGGTGGCTGGCAACTTTTTTTTAAAACGCTGGCGGGGAAAGAGTTAATGGCGTAGACATACACGCATATACACGGATACACGCGGATAGCTCAAAATGCATATAGATAACACGCCACTTGACTTGAAAGTGGCGTGTATGTTTACGCAAAAGTCATGATGTCATGTTACCACATGGTCAGCTCAAGGACAGATCCGGGGTCGAGGGCGAAGCAGAGGAGGTCGTGCAAGAGGCCGTGCAACTAGGGTCTGAGGAAGTAGAGGCCAAGGATGGGGTGGTTGAAGTGCAGGGTAAGGAGCACTTCTTGGACAAGAGGACCTGCGTCGAGTTTTGCATCTTCAAGCTCAAACAAGGGCATGTGAACAGGTATGATCTGGATACGCGCAAGTGGGTAGGTCCTGTGTGGCAAAAGGGTGGTTGCCATGGTTGTGAGAGAGTGACAGTCGCCTAATCCTTTGTTTTGTCGCAGGGTTGGAAATAATGAGCTGTGTTTAGTGCAGATTAAACGGTCTAGAGTCACACGATTTTTATACTCTTTTTATCAGAGTACTTACATGAGACCCTATCATAGCATTTGAAATGTTCCTATTTTTGTTTTAGGAGTTCCCAAAAACAGTTTAACGTGCATGCAATGATAAAAAACACTTTATTTGTAATATGCATCTTATAATATCTTATAATATGCATTTATTTTTGACTGATTTGCTCAACGACTCCCAAACAATTCGTTCGACGATTCATTTTCCCAAACACGTGAATCTGCGGCGATTGGTCAAATGACCCAGTCAGTTGTTATTGGTAAACCGTAGGCAGATACTGTCGGCAACGGAACGCCCATAACCAGGATTATAGCTTGTCAAGTGTTGAAAATTGTATTGTTTGAACAAACGTGTCAGAAAAAGTGCACTTTCCACGCGGTCCCTTACTCGCGTCTCCGTCAAGAGCAAGCTTTCCCGGCAAAACTCACATTGCGGCGGCTTTTGAGGGGCACTGCTTATTATATAGAGCGAAGTCATATTTGGCTAAGTCGTTTAGGAGGTAATTGCCATTTTTCAATGAATGTCTGGTGAATATCAAAAACAAAACTAACTTTGCTTAGAAGCTGTGTGGAGTGCACACAACACACACAACACAATGTAACTATATTGTGCATGCTACAGAAAACTTAACAGCAAACATTATTAATATTACTTACAGGTTGTGATTCGGAGGAGGACGAACCTGATCCATATACACTGGATACTGAGCCCTCCTTCAGGAACAACCGGCTTGCGAATGATTCGTCATTAAAATGATGAGAACACAAGGTTCGTGCTATTCTGTTGTGGTATCGTTGCAAATATGAACTCTGACCACTGATTCTTCACATGGTCGTCCCTGGACAATGGAAACAAGTGGCTGAACTGTCTTTGCAATGTAGCATACAGTGTCTCCTCGACATGATGTGATTTAGCTGAAGTATTTGAATGTGTTCTAAATGTCACTTCAAGTTTACACTTCCGTCTGCGCGCGCAGTTGTTGGGAGCGGCCAATAAGCTAATGTTCTGTATCTACGTCACGACAAAACAGCTAATTACTCGTTTCAAAAACAATTAATTTCATAGACTTAGAGTCGACTCTCACTTTTGAAAGACAATAACTTTATATACAGTGCACTTTCAGATATAAATCTTTGCAGGATGTTTTGATTACCTTAGAGCTATATTCCACACTACATGAACAGTCATTTTCAAAAATCCATGATAGGTGCTCTTTAATTATGCATTGTAGAAAGTTTAAACAAATTTGGAAAAAAGTTTTTTTTTTTTTTTTTATAAACCTACAATACCTTTTAGTTTCTCTTTTTTATGCCATGACAATTCATAGTACGTCAGGTTTAAAAAGGAAAATACACAAGATTAAATCTGTAAATTCAAAGTCATCTTGGCATACAATAGTTTTGTGTGTGAAACAGGCTGAAATTTTGCAGATTTTCAGTAACAGGCAGATATTCAGTAGCGGTTATTTGTGCGAGCACAAGTGAAGAGTTTTCACTGCCAGTGGTTCCTGCTGTGTTTTGATACTGTTCAAATAATACAAATAAGACTCGGAACAGCAGTGTTCTTCTTTTGGTTTACTGCACAAAATGAATACTAAACTCTGTGAACACAGGTATTTTGGACAATGAACTGGCCAACCAAAATCTAACCCAAAGTTAATCTCTATAGACTGGCCAAAGCAATTCAATACACTACAGTTCCCTTTACACATTTGAATGCAAAACCAACATTGTCTAATAATTCAAATGAAGCTGTATACGTTATTATTATACAAAGCAAAGGGAATGTAATGATATTTGGGCTACAGATGCCTAGTCTCTTCTGTGTTTGTTGCAAATATATCTAATGACAATAATAATCATTTAAATTCAATCTCTATTTAAATATTAACATGTTATTGTATTGTTATATCCACAAATTTCCTACGCCCCATGAGGCCTTGCGTCAAAAGTGGGGGCGTCTTCCGGTTTGAAGTAAACAAAGTTGACAGTCATTCAAGTTATAGCGATCCAAACTAGCTAACAATGTGGGAACACAACCTCAACGAAATTAAAAAGAGTGAAATAACAGTACCTTCCCAGACAGCAAACTGACATTGAATCAACGTGGAAACGACGTCTCTCATGACATTGAAACAACGTTGATTTGCTCATCAAATTAACGTTGAACCAACGTCAGACGCGGCATTCTTCAAAGCTAAATGAAATCGAAAATTAAATTGGTTTGCTTTCATAACGTTGAAACAACGCGTTGATTTCAAGTTGATTTTCCGTTAGTTTTGAAAGAATGACGCATCTGACGTTGGTTCAACGTTAATTCGATGAGCAAAACAATGTCAGATCAACGTTTTTTCGATGTCATATTTCCACGTTGATTCAATGTCAGTTTGCTATCTGGGTTTACCCTCCACAGTTACTTGGTTGGGAGTATTATAATAACATTATTAATAATCAATACTCATCAAGGCATGGTGACAGACAGTTGTGTGAGCTGACAAACAATTAAAATAAAAAAAATACACATTGTGTATAGTCATTGTGCTTTGGAGTTAATTCAAAATCATAAATGAATGTGCTACTTGAATAGATTAACTGGCACATTTGGTATTCTGTCACTCAGGCTTTGATCCTGAGTTTAGGTGTAACATAGCGAACAGCCAAACACATGCTGATAGATTTTATAGAATATTAAGAATTTAAACAAATGTACACAGGAAGATTCGTTGTCTTTTGGGAGGTGATGGAAACTAATGTTACAGTCGTTGGCAGGATCACTCTGATTTCGTTTTCGGCTTATGTTCAAAACAAGTTTAGTCCGGTTATACATACAACCGCGAACAGCACATGTTATCCCTGAGCTCCGTAACGACATCTCTCATAAAGATTTGCGTCTTTAAATAGTAAAATAATTCTCAGAAAAACAGCTAGCCTCTTCGCTAACTAACACACAAAATACAATTGGAATGCTACTTCCGCTGCCTTACCGGAAGTTTCACCCACTTTATTTTTTACAGGAGCGCCCCTCGGAAACTTGTGGATAGGCTATATACGAAGTAACTAGTAAATTGCTATTTGAGTAGATTTTTCATTGGATACTTTAAGTCAATTCAAGTAACTAAAGTCCTCATGAAATCAAAATTTACTCTATTAAGTTTGTCAGCACACATTACTGGTCTAAGGGTGAACAATTAATTCGTACACATTAATACACAGAAAAAACTGTTTGTCATAGTAATCTTTCATCAAAATCTGAAAAGTTACTTCCGGTCTGGAATGGCGTTCCTTCTCCGATGATGTCAGTTTGACGGCATGGCACAAAAGCATAAGTTGATAAAAATATATACTAAAATGTATTTGAAATTTGTCTAAGTATACTACAAATACATTTACGTATGTACTTTTCGGTATACTAAACTGGTATTCTTCAAGTCTGCCATATTGGAACAACAAATTTTGTATTGAATGCACTTTGAATTGTGCAGAAGTAGTGCTGAAGTCCAACTAAATATATACTCAAGTATACTTGATTGTGCTAAAGTGGAACCATTGAAAGTACACTTTAGGTACATTTTAAAAATCCTGCATTTAAAGACTGATATGATCATACAATCCTTCTCAATAAACATATTAAAACACATTTTAGGCTTAATATTAAGAATACTGCACATGTAAAATGTGCATTGTTCAATAAAAAATACTCCAAATAAAGTTTAATTATAATTTTATATCAGTAAGTGATATGTCAATAAATATGTTGGATTTGAAGTATACTTAGGATGAAATAAATTTATTTTAAATAGATTTTTGAATACTTTTTTCTGGGTGACCATGACAAACAGTGACAAATAGTTTTCCATTCAGCAAAGCTAGTTTCAGAGGACCATGGAAGCATGTTTTTATTTTTTATGCAGTCCTTTTGGACAGACATGGATTGCTATGAACTGTTGTTGTATGATAAGTTAATCAACTGTTGTTGATTATAAGCGATGCATCTACAGTCTTCAAATTCTTTAGCATTGATGAAAGAAAGTCTTTGAAATCCTTGAAATGATGACAGAATATGTAGATTAACCATTCCTTTAAACCTGAGCTTTCAACTCATTAGAATAGGGTGGAGAAGGTGTCTGCTGATAATTTACTATGTAGTACTATTTATATTGGAAACATTTGAAAATGTGCTAAATTACTTCCTCAAGTACTATATTACATTCTCTTGCTCTTTTTACTGCTTTGTGATGCTCATCCCACTCAGGCACACACAATAAACTCTGTGTTCACAGGCGTTTTTGAAAAACTAATCAGCCATCATGTAAACAAAGAGCACAGCTTCATAATCGCCCACCCCCAACTCTATTCTTTCTCCCCCTCCCACTTTAATGCTTTCTCTCTTTCTCGTACCAGCTATGAAAGAGGACAGGACGGTTCTGTTGTTAAGTGGCTGGGTGGCACGATAGTTATCCTGGAGAACCATGGGCTCTGCTTCTTTTTCTTTGCTGGAGTACAACAGTGTCTCTAATTTCATTAGCTGAAGAGAAGAGAAGAGAAGAGAAGAGAAGAGAAGAGAAGAGAAGAGAAGAGAAGAGAAGGTGTGCATTAGAACCGAGGAGTCATTTGATAACTTTGTGATGAACAGGTTTAATATGTGACATCTCGTAGCATCTGAACACTGTGGTAGGACAGTGTGATTCAGTGACTAGTAGAAGGTGACGGCGGTTCCTTACCTAGGTCTTACTATGAGACTAAACAATATTTTATATATTGTGTTGGAGAATATTTTAAATATAGGGTATTTGAGTAGTATGAAGCTGCATACTCGGAGCCTGCATCTACAGTCCCCCACCCAGAGTCCCGCATTCTCAGACCCCTCGTTTTTCGAGACAGTGCCTCCTATCCGAAAAATGAGTATCGTCAATTTGATTTAGCGAATCGTAGGCTTTTTTTATTTTAATCAAACTACTTTATAGACCATTTTGCAAGATGTAAACAACAATGGTCCAGAAGCACTTCCTGTTTCAGTTAAAATTTGGGATAAAATAAAACCAACAGAACATATAAAACTGAATCAAAAAGTTAAACAAACATCTTTAAGATGTTTTCTTTACCTGTGAAATAAAGAAAACAGTTACAAACTGAAACAGGAAGTGTGTCCGGACCAGTGTTGTTTACATCTTGCAAAATTTTCATTAATGGTCTACAGCTCATTGATATAGCCTACCAACATTTGAATAGCCCATTTAATATTTGTAAAGATAGTGTGAAGTGTTTTTTGTTTAATATTCATTGTATTCTACTATAATATGTATTTTGTTTACGTATTTTTGTGGAGGAATTTTATTTTGGTGTTGAGTCCTCGGAGAGAGAGGATGTTCGTAATGAGGGGCGGGAGTGTGAAGGAGGAGGAGTAGAGACGGTGCGAGAGAGGAGTGTGGTGTCGCTCTGCTCCGCTAAAACTCTGTTCAATAAAAAGTTATTAGTCGTCAATTTCAAGTCCATCGTCTTTATTGAAACCAATCCACGGCCAGCTAAACTCCACGCCTTACGTATTTATTGGTGGCAGCGGTGATTGTCTACGGCCTCTTTGGAGAAGTTGCTGTTGGACGGTATTGTGATGAAAATGAATTTAAATATATGATATTTACTGCCCTTTCATCATAGATGCTGGATCAGTTGTAGCCTGCTAGTGGTTAACTCGGACTGGAACACGTTTTGCTTAACGTGTAACGTTTTCATTTTCATTTACATGGACTGTATTTAGACAAACTATATTTATAACTTTAGAGCAGCTTTATTGTTTTCACCATCGTGTGCGTTTTCTTTTCATGTACAGTTATTTGTTTATTTCATTTATTTTGATGAAAAAAGGAGAAGAAAACAGATAAAGAAGACGCCTCCATCTCGGGTTCAAAGTTGACTCATTGCCAGGATTTGATGACGCTCCCTTTTTCTGAAACGTGTGCGCGGCTCCCTCCTGTGGCGGCCTTTGGTAACTGCACATAGCTGAGAGTCAAAGGAGAAAGCACTGCAAATGAGACTTCTAAAATAGACTTATGTTACGTATTCATTTACTTTTTCTTTAATTATTGTTCTTTTATATACAACCTCACTATAAAAGTCACTGCATAAGTCTAACTGACAGACAAACTTTATAATTTTTCCAACATGGCAGAAGACAACGTAACAACCCCACAAGTGCACTTTAGAGCTGTTTTGCCTTCAGACTTCACTGGGGATGGCAACGGAAGCTTTTCTCAATGGGCTCGTCATTTTCAAGTATGCTGCGAAACCTCAGGTAAACCTCAGCCTGCCAAAGTACTTCCTTCAAGATTGCTAGGTGCTGCATTCAGATTCTTTGTCAGATGACATCAAAGCTGATTATGACAGTACATGTAACAAAATTGCTGCAGTTTTTGACCACAAACAGCTACTGAGAACTTTTCAAACATACTTAAATGCCAGACCGCGTCAGAGTAACGAGCCATTTAAAGTGTATGCTGCTGAATTGACCTGCCTTGTTCACCAGGCTTTTCCAGATTATGGAGAATCTGCCATCAAAGGTGAAATTTTGCGACACTTTATAGCTGGACTTGACCTTTCATTGCAAACTAAGCTGTATGAGTTTGGTGTAACTACACTTGAGAATGCGATTAAAGTAGCTTGTCGGTGCGAGAGGGCACGTTCCACAGTCGCTGAGCCTTTTCCACTGCAGCCATCCTCTGTACCTCAACCTGCCGTGGTACACAGCCTCACAACTGAGTTTACCAATATGCTTGTAGCACAGCTCAGTGACCTCCATCTGAAAGGAGACAAACTTCAGTCTGTTGTGACTATGCTGACGCAGCCTAAGTCTCATCACGCCAGTGCTATCTCATCTCCTGATCTTCACTTCTCCTATCGCCAGAGATCACCTTCGTTTGACAGAGTTAAAGACAATCACTTTATGCCATCTTCCCGTTATCAACATTTCGCCGCATCTGATGAGCCCTACTTCAGAGGAAGATCTCCTGTACGTTCCAGTGACAGTCATCGCAGACTACATGGGAGTCCCAGGTCAAGTTATCATCATTAGCAGCAGCAGGGTTATGATAGACCCTTACGATACGACATTAGAGATACCCGCTTTAGCCCTCGGCAAAGATATGCTGCATATGATGACTTGGTGCCTTCTCAACCCAGCTACAGGCATCAACGGAAGGATGACAGCAGCCCAGTCGAGAACCGAGACCGACGGAGGGATGAGCAGTATTACAGACATCACTCTCCAAGTCCACAACGACCCTATTCACGCCATGTACACTTCACCGAACATCAGCGTTCGGGAAACGAGTGGTAACTAGAGATGAGGGCCAATCTTCAGTTCCACTGTCAGCGGCCCATAGCAGCAATGCAGTCACATCTGTGGACATCCAAGTCTGGACACCATACATAAAAGGCCTCATCGAGGACCAAGAAGTCAGTGTTTTTCTTGACACAGGCGCTGGTTTGTCACTTATCAGTGAGGCCTTACATCAACGCATACCTGCACTGAAACATCGCCCCTCACTGAAAAGTTTTCAGGTGGCACACACACTGATAGGACAACAGTTAGACATTTTAGGCTCATTATCTGTTGCATTACGTCTGGGGTCTCACATATTCAGTATGGACATGTATGTTGTAAGAGACCTCGAGACTAGATTACTGTAATGCTTTATTAGCCGGTTGTCCTGCATCCTCAATAAACAAGCTACAGTTAGTACAAAATGCAGCTGCTAGAGTTCTTACTAGGTCAAGAAAATATGATCATATAACACCGATTTTATCATCTCTACACTGGTTACCTATTAAGTTCCGTATCAACTACAAAATACTACTACTAACCTATAAAGCCCTAAATGGTTTAGCTCCTATGTACTTAACGGACCTTCTTTCGCCCTACAATCCACCGCGTTCCTTAACTCTTTCCCCGCCAAACACGGAATTTTCCGTGTTTAATGAAAAAACGCATCTGCGCCAAACACGGAATTTTCCGGGTATCCGTGTTTTAGGTGGTATACGGTAAGGAAGACCCGCGCGCATGTCCTGAATGATTGCGCAACTCTTTGATCAGAGAAACAGATCGCAATCGTCTCAAACAGTGGAGTAGTGAGAATGTATCAGACAGACAATGCAGAGGTATATGGCTGAAGTACTGGAGGTTAATGGACTCGGAGTCCGATCACTCTTTATTTGATAATTCTGAATCTGATCGGGACGAAGTAGTCAGTGAGAGAGATGCACATGTTCATGCTAGCCATGGACGTGCCGCAGATAGATCGTATAATATTATGACACTATAGTATGTGTGTGTGCAGGCATTTATGTGTGGCTGTCTAAATATGAAGGTGTAATTGTCAAATTATTTCTCTCTTTGTGCACATTTACCACATTGTAATATGTATTTGTGTGTGTGTGTGTGTGTGTGTGTGTGTGTGTGTGTGTGTGTGTGTGTGTGTGTGTGTGTGTGTGTGTGTGTGTCTAGGCCTGTTTATTGTAATTCCAATTATTCATTATTCACAGGTAGAACACAGAGAGGCAGAGGCAGAAGTTTTATTGCAAAAGTTACATTTCCCTTACATCCTGGGAAATTTGATATATTTTACATTTATTTTATGTTTTTAATTTATTTTGGAAAGTTTTATATATGAAGGAAACAACATCTGAATGTATTCTGCTTTTAAATGCACTTGTTTGATAAAAATACCTTTTTCTCAGTTTTTTGTCCAAAATGTTGTGTTTTTGACAAAACCTACCTCTGTTCAAGAGGCAATAAAAAAAGAACAGATTAAGATAAAATAAAAACGTTTTTTTTGCCTAAAAGCAGAGGCTCAGATCTTTATTTTTATATATATCATCTTCATATATTCATGGAAGAAAATATTCAGCGGGGCATTCAAATTTAGCGAAAATCGTCAAAAACCCTGGCGGTGGCTGGCAACTTTTTTTTAAAACGCTGGCGGGGAAAGAGTTAAGATCACTAAATTCAAGGCTTCTGGTCATTCCTAGGATATCGAAGTCCACTAAAGGAGGGAGGGCTTGCTTAGTTGGGGTTATTTAATATTTAATATTTAACAATATTATTGATCTGTGTTGTACTACTTTCATGTTATCACTGTGAAGCTGCTTTGATACAATCTAAATTGTGAAAAGCGCTATATAAATAAATGTGACTTGACTTGACTCTAGACAGGATGCTCTTCTTGGGTGGGACTTTTTCAGAAAGCATGGTGCCTCAATTGACACAGCCTCTGGTGCTTTTATTTTCAAGAATGACAAAATTTATCTTCTCAATTCCTCCCAAGCACTGCCTTTTTGTTGTAATGTGTTCCTGCTTTCACAGGTCTCAGTCCCCCCTTTGGCAGAGATTGTTGTTCCTGCCTCTGTAACATGTACCTCAGAAACTGGAAGTCAGCTCCATGAATTTCAAGGTTTTCTGGAACCACGTGTGATCTTGGACAAAGATTTAGCTGTTGCTCGTAGCTTCTCTAATGTCGAACATGGGCTCACAGT